AATACAATGTAAATAATAAATGCATTATCAATCTGTTACCATTTGACAGGTGTAATGTACAAGGTATTGACCAGTCAAGACAACACATATCTGACTGTAATAAGTGTGAAATCTCTGAAACCTCTGAAAGGCTAGCAGAATATAAAAAATTACATAGACATTTGAGCATAGTAAAACAAGAACAAATAAACAAAAATATCTCAAATGCACTTTTTTAATCTCAAAGAAAAAATTCTAGTGGCTAACCAAAAGCGGTTGTAATTAAAATGGGGACAAGGCAGGTGTGTCACGAAAGACACTGGGATACCGGCTGGAGGAATGATGAGGAAGGAGAGGAAGAACAGCCTACAGTGAACCTGATCATCCATTAGGTACATTGAAGGCTCTTCCAGGAACAACCCTCAGCATGTGGCTCTTTCACAGAAAGGGTTGTCATGCCATGCAAACTCATCCAGTGGGACTCACTTATGAGTAATCATCCACAGGATCAGCCTCTCCCTAAGCAGGAGTTCTAAACTTGTCCCAGTGAGCTCAGCATTTCCATGTAAGTAAACATGTTTAAGATAGCAAAACAAGGCCTGATTTAAATACATTGCTGCAAACCTCTGAAGCATGCCAAGAGGTTAGATTTAGGTCTGAATGTGCCTGCTGCTCTGCTGTGCCCACTTGGCCATGATGTCCAGCCTGCCATCAGGGCATGTGCTTACACGGAAGCCCAGTAACCAGCCAGTAGGTACTAGGTACATTTTTTCTCAGGTTGGGCTGGAGTTTTCCCTATCAGGTTGCTTTCACAGCCATTCACAAGATGCAGCTGGCCTTCCTCCAGTCTTTCACATACATATCAAAGCCCTGCTTATCCACCAAAAGTCTGATCAGCTTAGAAATCAAAACATACACAACTAAAAGGAAATGACAGCTGATTTCCTGCCAGTAGATTACAGCCATTAGCAAACAGTAATGATAAACAATGGCATCCTTATATATTAATTTAGAAGCAGAGGACAATGGGGGAAACAGTTTCAAGAAGCAGTTCTACTGGGATTAATTACAATTTTGAAACTTTTTAAAAGCTTGAATTCCCATAATCACAAAATCATAGCAAGATTTTACTTTTGACCTGCAGGCTTTTGGCAGCCTGGCCCAGTCTGGGATATCTGCAACCATTTCTTAGATTTCTAACTTTCACTTAAGAATAACAGCCTTTACAAAGGCTCAAAATGTGCAAGGACATGCAGTAAAATATACTATGTGTCCTTACTTACAAAGATGTACAATAAAACATACAACCAGTACATTATTGTCAGAAAAAGATACAGAAGGGAAAAGACTGTAGCTCAGTAGCACATCATGTGTTTGTATGCAGAAGGCCCCTGCTTCAATCTCTGGCATCTCCATAAAGGATAGAAAAGACCCTTCTCTGAATCCCTGGAAAGCTGCTGCCAGTCAAGACAAGAAGATAAATCGGCTTCCATGTTCCTAAATAAATAATTTTTTCTGGTATTCTAAGCCAAGTTAGCACAAAGGAACTGGGAACTACATATTCTATTCAGTCAATAACTTTAAATACATTAAACTAATTCCTGTTCTGCAGGAACTTATGCTGCAGCTATCACCACAAAATTGTTGGTAACTGGCCTGGCCAGTATTCACATCAGTTATCATAATGCAGCTCACATTATGGCTTTGATCCTATCTATGCACACTTGGCTTAAGTTATATTTTCTTTCTGAATGGATATACAAAATATTACTGAAGTCACTGTACTCCAAATGGTTCCATGTGGCAGCTGTCATTATGTGCAGTTATGTGCAGTGTGTTGCCATATGAAACAGCTCATTTTCCCCCACATTAGGGCAAGAGGAAGGGTACGTCACTGGTGATGTGCATTAGGTTATCCAAAAAGCTGGTTGCACATTTAACTGCTCACCAAGTGTTGACAGTCTCTGTGTGGAGCAATTTCATGTCCCTTCCATGTAGCAAGTGTCAGCCATCAGCTTGCACATACCAGCACTTCTGAAATGACTCTAGATCTGTGTTTTCACCTTTTCTATCTTCAGTGGACACTTTTCTCAAGGTCCACTGAGGAACCTCTGCGCATCAGCCATGGACATCTCCATGGGAAATGTTCTAGAGCCCACACTTGGATCAGACAAGACCCGATTCAAGACAAGTTCAGATCTGCTGGGCATATTTGCCTGTACAGAGAGAAGAAACACTAGAATACAGCCAGTATTCCCATGCATCCTAGATGCTATTCCTGACATTCTCAGCAAGGATCACCTGATAAACTGCTAAAGAGTCTCAAGAGTCATCTAGAAGAAGACAGCCTGAAAATTGTTCCTCCAGAACAGTGATTTTAAAAATGTGCTAACCTTCAAAGACCCTCTTCCCATATCTTTGCAGGCAAAGGTATACCCTATGTTCCAATGCATGATCTGGATTAAGTCCAACTTAATACAAGAAAATTCACTTCCACGTATATACAGACAAGGTTGGAATGTATAGCCTATCAATGCCATTAACCTACACAAATGTGAATTAATGTTCAGCACTTAGTGGGTGATAAACTATGTCATGAGACCAAGTACAGAAGCTTTTGTGTAGTAGTATTTACACTCAGGGACATCTCTTTGGCCAAAAAGTGGAAAGGAAACCAACTCTCTCCCATCCCAGTGCACCCACTTAGTTACACATTGGTATGTTTAACTCCTCAGGTTGTAAAATTTACAGAACTAGAAGACATATAACAGCTTTGTTGAGGCAATGCCAAAGCAAGCTCAAATGTCCCACCCTAAGTCTGCCCCACCTCATTCATCATAGCCACAAAGTGGTGTTCAAAGCTTCTACTTCCAGCTTAGATGAACCCCAATTCAGCACAACCTTCTACAACAACTTTCAGTGTTTCTTTCTGTTGGCCTTGCTGGTTGGGGCTGATGAGAATCGAAGTCTAAAACATTTACATGACCCCAGGTTAAGGAAGGTTGATTTAGCATGTTATACAAATGGTATAAACCATGGTTACCGTCAGCTACAGTTTATTTAAACCAATACTTTGAAGTTTCAAACAAACCAAAGTTAAGATTCATCAAAGTTTGCCAGGTTCAGAAAACACAATCTAAACCGGAACTGAACACTTCCAAACTCTTCCTTGCAGCTGATTTAGCTTGATAGCTGTATGTGGCCAATGAGTTATGTATTCTACTGCCCCCCTCTAAGTCAAGACAGCCTGTATTCAAACCATTGGTGCAGATGTTTATGTCATTCAGAAAGCCTGCAAGGGGGGGGGGGAGATTTCACACTGTTTTTCTACCCAGGTCACTTGAATTGCTGTGAAACTACTCCTAAAAACCGTTAAGAGATTCTCAGTCTCTCAGCTTGAATGTAAATAAAATGTGAGGACTGTGATGAATTACACATCTAGCATTCTGTTTCCAACTGTTGGTTAACCACGTCTCTTTGGGAAGCTCATAAACAGGACCTTAGGCTGTTCTTTATCCCAAATCCCTGATGCCATCTGTCCATTTAACTAACATGCAGGGGGCAGAATAAGGAGAAAAATACCCTCTGCAACTTTGTCTAATCTTACATACTAACAGTGATCTCATTGTCCAAGCGCAGATCTTTATGTGGCCAAAACAGCGCTATTCACACAGAAGGTTAGTTTATCAGAAGACTTATGGAAAGCCATGATTTGCAGATATATTAGAGGGGGACAACGGAAACAAAAACAGCCCAATGAGGAGTTAAGGAGCCACAGAATGCTATCTGACTGCATGAAGAGTAGGAAACCAAAAAGAGGGAAAAGGGAATGGAGTGTCTTGGAAGAGGGCATGGCTGACTGAAGCACTGAACAGGTACTCTGTTAACAGTCTTCTGCACTGCAACATTTTGTTAAATGCCCCACTTGCCCTTGTGAAAGCCATCAGCATTTACAACCACCACTGTATCTTCTGGTTCTGAATTCTGCAAGGTAAGCACTACACAATGCACAAAGAAGTATATCCTTTCCAGATGTCTTGGCTATGGTTTGAAATTCATAGATAATTTCAAATAATCATTGTTTCCTCCCCATCTCTTTTTACATTCATAGGCTTCTTTACTTTGCTACTTATGAGCAAGGTTTCAGATGTCTGGTTCCCAGATTCCTTTCTCAGAATCAGCTCCTGCAGCTTTAGCAACTGCTTAACAAAAAACCAAGAGTGAAGCTTTTCCCATTACTGAGTTGCCCTGCCAGGAACAGCTTCATCTGCCAATGTCAACAGGAGTCCCGCCAAGGGAAAACAAAGAATATTGAGGACCCTTACTGAGGAACACCCATTTGTACAGCTGCAAATCCAATCAGAAATCCAGCAGGTGAAACTTCTGGTAGCAGGGACAGTCACAAATGCTTGCTTGTGCTGTAACTTGCACAGCTCTGCAGGAGACCCACCAGAACCATCAAACCACCATGATCAAACTTCTTTCCCTTTCCTCCAGCTTGGTCTGCTCCATCACTCTAAGCTGGGAATCAGCTTGGATGCCCCTGGAGACTGAGCCTGGTCTTATTTTGCTTATGCTACTCTGTAAAGCAGCAAGTACACTGATGGTGTATCCAACTGTACTATAATTTGAAATCTTATGTCTAAATTAACCAGATGGGGAGGGAGTGAGGTATTGCCTTTCCCAAGCCTGCCTGCCCATGTGAAGACAAGTGGGCGGGGAATCTAAGGGAGAACTCCGATGCAGCGTTTTAAGGCTGCGATCCTATCCCCAACTAACCCGGGAGAAAACTTACAAGGTCTTATTTCGGTGTGGCCACGTGCAGGCGCGCATTTAGTAAGACTATCGCGTACAGGCGAGTGGCGCACTCACGTCCGCTTCACTCTTGGAAAGCGTTCTGTTGGTTTTCCCTCCCAGGCGGCCCTAGTGCGGCGGGTCTGCGTAGAAAAGAGCAAGGCTCTTGCCGCTCCGAACTGATCCTTTCCACCCTCCACCTTCCGCTCGAGATCCCACAAACGCACCCTCTTTGGCTTTCTTCTTCCTGGCTAGCGTGCCGCCCAGCTTGCCCAGGAACGACTCGTCCTTCTTCATCCTGTGGGGCCGAAGCGTGGGCGATCGCACGGGAGCGGAGGACATCGGTGTGCCGGGAGGGCAGCAGCGGAGAACCGGGCAGGGGCGAGGCGGCTTTTGCTCTGCTTTCGCAGCGGGCGCTTTTGCAGCCGGGACGCGCCCCTCGGCTACATGTGGCAGGCGCCGGGAAAGGGCTCGGAGGTGGCCGCGGCCCCGTCACTTAGCCGCCCTCCTTCAACTTGTTAGTAGCCCCACCGGTGTTGGAAAGCAGAAGTCACCGGAGGAAGGGAGGGAGGGCGCATCACGCCCAGGGAAATAGGTGGGATGGGATGGGATCTTCTGAGGCAGCCGCTTCCCAGCCTTTCTCACAGCGCCCTGCTATGGCGTGGAAGTCCAAGGGGCGGGTCTGCGAGTCGGTCGGCCTTACTGTATTGTTGCGAGAGGAAAAATGAGATCGGCCGGTCGGAGACGAAAGGAAAAGAGCGACCGCCTCCAAGTTGCGGATGGGGGAGGTGTGGGAGTTCGGCGTGGCAAGTTTTGCTTCCTAGCTAAATACTTGAGCAATACTTCGAAGGGAAACAAACGCTTAAGCGTTGAGTAAGTAATAAATAGAGAATGGGGACTGTTCCTTTGAGCATATGCAGAATGACTTTCCGTTGGAAAGGCTGTTGGCTTCTTTAAAACTAACACAATCACAACCCCTGAAATCTGGGGTCATGATTCCTCAGTGTTTGTGCAGAGTGCATATGATGAAAGTCAAAGACACCAAAGGAATAAAACTAGTAATTGTGGTTTTCCTCCTCCGGAGCTGAGCAGTGAAAGGAAAGGCTGGATGCCTGGACTGCATCCTGGCAAACTCAATTCCTTCTAATAAGACCTGAATAATGGCCCAATCATGGCTTCCATGCCTGATTCAACTCATACAGGGAAATGGTGCTGAGTTGCGGAGGAAATGGCCCTGAGCACTGCCTGATGGGAAACCAAGTGAATGTTACGTGCTAGCCTTTCTGAGAGGTTTGAAAGAAGAGCAGAGTGCAGGAACTTGATAGTGAAAAATAAGAAAATAACAGTTGTAGTGCAATTGCTGATGGCAGCAAAATGGGGGAACTCAGACTGGAGAACATAGGAATTCTCACTGAGCATGGTGGCCGTTCCAGATGTTTGAGGCCTATGTGGCTCCCCTCTGTCAGGGAGTCATCACCATTACCAGCAGCTGGTCCTGCTCCTTGGCTGCTTTCTTGTCATTGCTACTCCTCGCCTGTTTGACACAGAATGCAAGAGGGCAGGGCCATCTCCTGTTCCCCCACAACCACCATTATGGTTGTCTGACTGTAGTGCAAGGCAGGTAAATTAGCAGTGGAAATTGAGAAGCTGAGTCAGTGGTACCCTGTAAAGGCTTGGGCCTATGGCAGAGGCCAGGCATGTCTACTCTATTGTTAGCCCTGCCTGAGCATAGTTTGAGCCAAGCCCAAAGCAACCCAAGTTTGGGCCTAGCTCATAATGAGCTTGCCCCCAACATTCTAGACTATTGCAGCTCACTCTTTCCCTTCAGCTTAGCTGGTGACAGCTGCAGCAACAAAGAGACTTTACAGAAGGCCTGTCTGTCTGTCCTTGTCTATTCTCTGGAGTGAATTAATAGTGCACACACAAGGAGGCCTGGGTCCTGTAATTTCCTAATCCCCTATTAAGGCACCCTGGGAGACTAGAATGGGGCCCTTTTGGCTCTCTTTATTCCCATGGGGCCTCTATAGCTAGGTAAATGGGTGGCAGGGGAGAGCAGACTTCATAGACCACATGGAGCATTGGAGACATTTAGGCTCATCCACTGTGAAATTGGGAGCAAATCCAGTTGCATGAGTATCTCATCACTAACAGAAACTAGGTTCAAAGAAAGTCTGAAGAGCCATGGAAAATTCCAAAGCAGTAGGCTAGCTATGTGAACATGTTTCACAAAAAATATAGCATATTGTGACATCTTAAAGGCTGATGATTTATTGTAGCATAAGGTTTCATGCACTAGAACCCCTTTTGTCAGATTCATGAAGTGTTATTTTACAAGCAAGGAAGCAAGCATGCACACTCAAGGTACAAAAATGTAAGTGGTGGGACTAAACAACCACAAAATATGAGGGACATGGCAGATCTAGGTCATTGTCATGCAAAGCTCAAATGTATTCATGAAAACAACGACCATTCATGGTAGCTGGAATCCAAAATACACTATTCACAAATAGTATGCTAGCATCTCTATTGGTAGACAAAGTCATGGTCCAGATGAAAACCTCAGTGAATCTAATCAAATTTGATTAGTTTGCCAGTTGCTTGCTGGAGTCCCACAAGAGGAAGGGCTTTATGTTCAGAAAACCTATAACATTGCAAAAATTAAAAGTCACATACCTCATTACAGGTACTAATACAACTATTATAGAACTGGAAGGCATACTTTTAAAAACCTACAGGGAGCATTTGCCACTGATTTGCCATTGCATATACTTCCTATGTACTAGGAAGTTTTATCCGCCTTTAAAAAGTTACTCTCATAATTAAAAGTGGTGGACACAAGCAAACAATCCTGGCTTGACACATCCATTGCTTTCAATTATAATTAGGCCATAGCAAGTCACCTTAGAAAGTGGTAGGCTTGTGTAAAGAGAAGATGTGCAACTCTAGTTTGGAAGGAAGTGTTTAGTTCCTCTACCATGGAGGAGGTACAGTTGAGCTGGAAATTGGGTCTTCAGCAGCAGAACAGGAAACACTGTTAGTCATCTCAATAGTAACTCTTTCCTCAAGCATTTCAACAGAATACACCCAGTCCACACATCCAAAGAGCAAGTAATAATTTTGGTCCCAAATCCTAAAGATATATGGAACTTGTCTGTGTTTTTAGTAGAATCAAAGGGATTTCAGTTAATATTTACTAACTTGTACCACTCATTTCAATGGGACTTACTGTAAGAATGGCTGTCTACATCAATTCATTTACGTGGACGAAAGAGTTGCTCATGATTGCATTTTCTTAGTGTGACTGCTGGATTAACTCTCCTCTGTGAATGAGATATCAGGAAATAAAAACATCATAGACAGACTTCCTACAGCCTCGGGCACCATGTTTTTCATTGGAGTCCATCATAAATTCAGCTGTCAGAAGTGCTGTTAAACGCTTGTGTAAACAAGCCCTGTACCTTGCTGATTTTGATGGAAATTTCAGAATGTGTTTAGAAGCATAGCTGAAAAACCAAATACTGATGTTTATGTTTGTACATTGCTCCACATCTAAACAGATTCTGGAGCTAGAAACAAAAAATAATAATCACTATCAATAAAAATGATGACTATTGAGGGAAGGCTTCTTCCAGTAAGAATCTTTTCAAAAGGCATAAAAACAACATAGTATTGGTGCCTGCCTAACCACTGGAAGCAGGGAGTTCCAGAGCAATAGAGGCACCACACTGAAGGCTCTTCTGGTGACTATCATATACCCTTTGTTCCTCACACAGAGAAATGTCTGCTCTACTGTCCCTTCTGCAGGTGGTACAGAAGCTAAGTTCACTAAGTTCATCAATTTTGTTTAACTCTGCGCAGTTCTTAAAGTCGTCAACAAAACCCTCCATACTTGCCTAAGGTTTGCTTTAGGACAAAAGCAGTTCACTGATTGGGGTGTGCAGGGCAGCCCTCTTGGGTGCCAGAGTACACAACATTCTCTCACTCCCCCAGACCCCAAGTCACTTGTGCAGGCGCTGTAAAAAAGTAAGTCTCTGTTTTGGCTCTTTCTGCTGCTGTGCACACATGCTACTCTGCACTCTTTCCTCTATGGCAGGGGTCCTCAAACTTTTTCAGCAGGGGGCCAGTTGAAAGGTGCTGGTGTCAGAAACGGGCCGGTGCGGCAGTGAGGCAGGGGCAGGTTCGGCATGGCACAGAGAGGTGAGGTGGTGGTGAGGCAAGGTGGGGGCAGGGGCGGGCGCACACGCAGCAGCAGCAGGTGTGTGCACGGCGGCAGCTTGCTCACTCAGAGATTGTTTTCTCCGAGCGAGTCCAAAACCTCTGAGACGGGATGGATCCGGCCCGTGAGCCGTAGTTTGAGGACCCATGCTCTATGGCATGTCTTGAGGCTTTGTGACCCTACCCTGTGCACGTGTTCATAATGTTCTTATTGTAGGGAAAGCCAATAAGACTCTACCAGCCAGGGAATCCAGGGCAAACCAGCATCACACTATACATGAACTAAAAGTACACACATGCACACTATGACAAACTAGCCAAAAAAATTTAACCTGCCTTTGGAAGAAAAGATGCCTTTCGAGTCCTTCCAAGAGGACCATTCTGAAATTCTACAGCTACAGCCAGAAAGTTTAGGAAGGAGTCATCATGGAGAGTCAGTGTGCCATAGTGCTATAGAGTGCTGGACTCAGGCATGAAGCTCACTGGCTAATTTTGGGCCAGGCGTGCATTCTAAGCTTAACCTACCCCACAAGTTGTTATTGTGAGGATAAAATGGAGAGGAAGAGAATCATGTAAGCTGCCTTGGGTTTCTTGCAAGAGGAAGAAAAGTGGGCTATAAATGTAGTATAATGATATCACCAAAGGTGAGACCCAAGCATTTAAGGCTTTTGAAGGTTAAATCCAACACACTAAGATAGCAATCCTATGGCTACTAGACAACGTTTAGATGGCAATAAGATTTTTTGGATTCCTTGCTCCAAGGTTAGAAAATTGCTCTGACTTTGAGCTGGAGGTTCACACTTGGATCCTTCTCCTCCTCCCCCAGCTGATGTCGAAACAAATGCACTGGCTGCTTTTCTAAGGTCTCAAAAGCAACCTCAGAGAAGGGGCTTAATGAGCATTACAGGAGGCAGAAAAGGAGGGCAGCAGAGCTGCCAAGATATGCCTTATCCTAGCAGCTCCTCAACCTCCTTTCCTCCTTCAGACTGCCATAGTTAGGCAGTCAAACTAAACCGTTCAGCTGCTTCACAGAGCAGAAAAAGACTAAGGCACCCCCATCCCTGTGCCCCTCCTGCTCTGCATAGGATGCCTGCCTTTTAAAGAGGTGTTTCATTCCACCTGAAGTTTCTGAGTCTCAGACTTGTGATTTAAAGTTTGGGTACACATGGGTGGTGTGTGTGTTTTGAGTCCTGACTTGACAACCACACAAGGGATCCTTCTACCTTGATAAAAAGCAAGAATGCAATATCCCATAAAGAATGTTCCTTTTTAACAATTTTCTTTATTGAAGTTTGTCCCTTATACATATCTCCTTCAATATTATCTGGGACATCACTGTTCTGTACTTGAATCCATGAGTTCTTTTGGGGCCAGCACTGTGAAATGATTCTGACATTACAGGAATCGTATTCCAGCTCCAAACTGAACTCCATCACATATTCTGGAAGAACAAAGTAGATAATTACAGTATTCTTCATATAATTTTAGCTGAAGAAAATACTTCACAAATTGTAAAAACTTATCTTTAAAAAATATTCAAGCCCAATATTTTGCCTAGTTGTTTCACTTCATAGCATTATGCAGCTACTGGTAAATTACAAAGCCAGGTTAACATCATGAACACACATTTGGGAGGAGCTCCATTAAACACAGGGGAATTTACTACTGCATAAATAAGCACAGGTATGTGCTATAAATTTTCTTCATCATTAAGCTTAAGAATCAGATGAGAGCCTATTAAAATACATTGCAAACAATTCTATTTTTCATTTTGACCTCTTTTTATCACTGACATTTCCAAAACTGTGCCTGTATATTGGAGGAGAGCTAGCAAACTGAAGCCAAATCCACACTGAGTAAGAGGTGATAGTTTAGAAGAGGTGCGATTACATATCTTTGATTCCCAGGAGACAGCTGTGGCTAACAGTGCTTTTTAAAATCCATTATAATTTAATGTTAACAGCATCCCCTTTTCAGACAACAAGGAACTTGAGATAAGTGTCAGTTCATTCCTTGGTTCTTTCATGAAATGATTAGTGCCGTGTACTCTAGAGGGGACTGCCCCAGTGCTTGGAAACTAGTTCCAAATATCACTGCCTGCCTTGAGTTGGGACAGGAAGCATAACACACCTTTTCTTGCCCAGCTGAACTGGTTATTAGTTTGATTCTAAGCATAATTCAAAGTGTTCTTTATAATAATTTATGCAGCCTCAACATGAGCCAGTGTGCCTAAGATAGGCAGATAAACCTATCTTCCTACTTCTGTAGGAAGTATCAAAAAATCCATTATATTCTTTGCTATTTTCCTTATATCTTCCTACTTCTGTAGGAAGTATAAGGAAAATAGCATTTTCTATTATGGTATCACAATTCTACTCTCTCCAGGGATGCCACAAATTTCAGGCAGAAAATCTGAATTGTTTTAGTCCCCTTCCCCCTGTTCTGCAGGTCTCTGGACTTTGAATAATTAGGGATACAGGGGGAGTTGTTGTTTTGAATAATCAGGGATATTTGGGAAGGAGGCACTCTAACAAATATATAATAGATTTTTTTGATAAGTTTTAAAAAATCTTGAATAACAGTTAATAAAATAAAATATTTTGGATAGAAAGACAATGAAGAAATTTAAAATAAAAATACCCTTGCATACCTGTCCCCAATTTGTACTCCCATAGGGATACAATAGTTGAGTTCTAATCTAGCAATGTTTCCAAGCCTGAGAACAATTCCAGCACCATAAGACCATCGGATACACTCTGCTAGTTTACGAAGATGAGCCTTAGGACCTTCACCTTAGAAGGAAAAAGAAGCCAAAGAGAATGGGAACACAATCCACAGAAATTTTCATGGTCAGTAGTCTATGCTTTTTTCTAGGTAAATGGAGCTAAAGTATTTAACACACTCAACTTCAAAAGCATAATTTTGCTCTACATAAATCAGTTGTACCGAGTATTTCAAAAAATCAAAGTAGCATGGATCTTTGTTCTATTTCCTTCTTACCATAGTTAAGGTTACAGAGATTGCCAGCATTGAGAAAAAAGTGTGTTCGAAAAAGATCTCCAAATCCCCCTCGACCTGGCCGAAAAGGGAGAGGAGTGTACATATGTAGACCTCCAGCCCAATAAGCTTCACCTCCCAGGTAATCACCTAGAAGAGGAAAGTGGTATGAAATATTAACCATATTAGACATTCAAAGGACAAATTTCAAAATAAGAAAATTTAAAAGAAATTTTGGGAAGAGGGATTCTCAATCCTTTTAAATTTATATTAAGTTGAATTCCTATGTCATAAGTTCTTAATGGGTAATATTTTCAAACAATGCAACAGACTACTTCAGGTGGTGCCTACCAAGCACTTACTGTATGTAACAACAGCCTACAATATGGTTCTGAAATGCCTGTTTCAAGAGGCATTTAGAGTTTACCTTCATTTCTGGCTCTCAAACATTCCAAGGTGCAGATGTCACTACTGGGAAAGTCTGTTTTTGTGCCATTGCCTGGCCATTAGTTATAGGAATGACCAGTTGGGTCTCCTCAGAAGATATCAAGGGTTGACTGGGTATATATTAGAGAAGGCAATATCCTGGTGCCAAGTTGTTTAAGACTTTGCATGTCAACAACAACACAGCTTAGTAACTAATAGAGCTTCCCTTGATTAAGGCTAGCAGGATCAGAACTGCGGGGACAGGACATAATTTGGAAAGGAGAAGGTGCTGGGGAGAGCATGCAATCCTATAGCCCGCTGCCATTAACCAATAGGGATACTTACAGAGTTATTAAAACTAAGAACACCTAATATAAAAATGGCTAAACACACACCACCGTTAAGGCATTAAATGTGTTATGTCTGGCCAGCATGGTGCGCTAGTTAGAATGTTGGACTGGGGAGCTGGGAAATGTGGTATCTAGTCTCCACTAGGCCATGAAGCGCACTGGGTAATTTTGGGCCAGTCACTCATTCTCAGCCTAATCTACCTCACAGACTTCTTGGTGTGAGGATAAAATGGAGTAGAGGAGGACCATATAAGCTGCCTGAGCAATGTAATGTAATCAATAATAAAAAACTCAGTATATAAGCAGTTTGACAACAAAAGACTGAAATCCTATTTTGCATCTAATGTATGCCACTTTTTTCCTTTTATTATAATATCCATGACTCCAAGTAACTGGTTTGAAGCTACTCTACTGTTTCATTCAGCTGTAATAAAATGGTTTAGCTAAAATGGTGAAACTACTTACAAATGTAATTTGTAATGGATCTAGTTCTATACACCAGAAGAAATCTGAAGCATCCCTTGCCAAAATCAGCAACCCACCCATTCCCATCCCATGATGCATAATTCACTTTTTTGGAGGGTGGGGTTGCTTTCAAAAGTAATTTCTGATGCAGCATGGAGATGTGCTCTTCAGTTAAAGCATTCTAAAATCCTAATAGGCTTACCTAAAATAGCACTTTGGCATCTGTTCTATACTTAACATTCCATTCTTCCTTCAGAGAAGTTAGAATGGCTTACATGGGACTTCCAATCAATATTCCATCCAAACATTTATCAGGAGGAGATCTGCATAAATCTAATAATTTAACAGCATTAAACATACTTAGATCATTCTCTGGATCCTGGTAACACTACTGCAGCAATGCAATCAGCCTCAAAACATTCCCTTACCTTCACTCTGCGGTCCAATGCTGTACATACTGAATCCACGCACACTTGTTGGTCCACCAAGATAAAATCTAGAAGAGATCCATCATGACATGCAGCAAAATATTTGAGCAAAGTTTGAAACTGATAAAGGATAATCTTACATATGTTTCTAAATCAGATGAGTTTATTGAGCATGCAGTACATTCCTATGCTTACTCAAAAGTAGATGCCATTGATGTCAATCAGATTTACTCCCAGGTAATGGGTTATCAGATTATTTATTTTATTTAAAACATTTTTACCTCATCCAATACGAAAAAACATCCCAGGATGGCTTACAATAATTAAAACAATAGTAATTACAATAAAACAGTAATAATTACAATAATTAAGGCAATAAATAACAAAATGCTAAATAGCTTTCATAACCCCAAGGAAACAAAAACAAAATGAAATGCAACTGTTGATGTTAAAACCATTTAAAATCCCTTAATGCTTAAAATGATGGGTGAATAGAAAGATTTTTACCTGGCGCTGAAAGGAGTATAAAGTTGGTGCCAGGCAAACCTCTCTGGGGAGTTCATTCCACAATCTGGGCACCACTGCAGAGAAGGCCCTCCTCCAGGTAGAAACCCTCTTTATCTACTCCAGGGAGGTTTCCCAGAGCAGGGCCTCTCCTGCCAATCTTAAGGGGCATGGGGGCATATAAGGAAGGGACGTTCCTTCAGGAATCCTGGTCCTAAGCCATTTGTTTGTTTGTGTTTCTTTATTACAAGCATTTGTATCCCGTCCTTCTGCACAAGCGCTCAGGACAGCTTACATAATATAAAATTCCAAAAATACAATAATAAAACCACACTTATTAAAACATCTAAAATTGAACATTATAAACTAAAAAATAAGAAAGGAAAAATAAAATAGGAAGTGCGACTGTGAAAACAAAAAAATCTTAAAACATCTAAAACTCTTAATTGTTAAAATGATGGTTAAATAAAAAGGTCTTTACCTGGCGCCAGAAGGAGTATAACGTCGGCGCCAGGCAGACCTCTCTCGGGAGCACATTCCATAGTCTGGGTGCCACTGCGGAGAAGGCTCTCCTCCAGGTAGACACCCTCCGTACTTCCTTCAATGAGGGTTCCAGGAGCAAGGCCTCCCCTGCTGATCTTAAGGGGCATGAGGGCATGTAGGGAAGGAGGCGATCCTTCAGGTATTCTGGACCTAAACTGTTTAGGGCTTTATAGGTTAGCACTAGCAGCTTAAACTGGGCCCGGACTTCAATCGGAAGCCAGTGTAGCTGGTAGAGGACCAGTGTTATATGAGAATAACGATCAGCCCCCGTCAGCAATCTGGCAGCTCTATTTTGTACCAACTGAAGTATTCGGACCATTTTCAAGAGCAGCCCCACGTAGAGTGCGTTGCAATAATCCAGTCGGGAAGTTACCAGAGCATGTGTCACCATTGATAGGCATTGCTCATCCAGGTAAGGACACAGCTGGTGGATGAGCTGAAGCGGAAGCTCTCCTCATCGCCGCCACCACCTTGGCCTCCAGGGACAGCTCTAGGTCGAGCACTCCCAAGCTGTGGACCCTGTCCTTTAGAGGGAGTGCAACCCTGTCCAGGACAGGGCCAAAATCACTCACCTGAAAACCCAAACCACCCACCAAAAGGACCTCCATCTTATCAGGATTGAGTCTCAGTTTATTGGCTCTCATCCAGCCCATTACCTCAGCCAGATTACAGTGTAAGTGGTCCAAGCTATTTCAATAACCACATGAATGTTAATTCCACCTAAGTCTCTGTTGACTCTTCATTGACACAACTTTTATTGCTGGGAAAATGAAATGCCTGAAGCAAAATCATCATTTAAACCCATGGATTTGCTGCAATCTCATCCAGATGCCATGTTTATGGTGTTTCTGGGGTACTGCATAAGAGTTATGGCTCCTAAATCCTGTGCTGAAATGTGAGAACTTGGATGCTGCATCAGATAAATGATCCATCTAAAGCATATTGCTACTCCAATAGTGGTAGCCACCAAATGATACAAATTAGTGACTGAGAACAAGGAGCTTGGACAATATGCAACTGACAGTATTGCTAATTTAAAGAACATTGGGCTAACATATAGTGATCTACAATGCAAAGCCAGTAATATTTATTGGTGAAACAGTTTTTTCAGGGAACTTTGGCTGAAGAGGTCAACTGTGGAATAGATAACTGTTTTTTCCCCTTGATGAAAGAGATGCATCCAGTAAGTCAATGTGCAAAAATAAGGAAAATATAGAGGAAAATGGAAAGCAAAGCAAAGCAAATGGAATTACTTACCTATCAGCAATACTGGAAGGTTTGTCTCCAATAGGAACCAACATTCCACCCCACAGAGAAGCAGAGAAAACCTTTAAAGAAACATATTCTTTCTTTAAATATATATTGATAACTATTCAGATTCAAATAAACACCAACTTGACTGAAAGGCATCCTCTTTGTTACTGCCAATCCGCCTTTTCCTCCTAAAATTTCTAGTGTGAGAAATCAATTTCACCGCATGCATAACTTGTGAAAGGAAGAGGGTAGCCAAAAGACAGCATGCTAGTACATCCTCTGGCTCCAACCCCTTCAACAACTTATCCCAAATTCTTTTATAAGACAGAAGTATGAAAAACAACCTCCATTTCATTTTTTTAAAAATCCACAATAAATACACATTTTTTATACATTATACTGCAAATTCTTAACAGTTCCAAAGAGCTACTTAGTCTCATGTAAAGAGCTAAGCTATGCCCGCTAGAATATTCACCTCTGCACCACTCCACCAAAGCAGCAAATTTCCATGCTCTATCATAAAAATGGTCTGATTTCAAAAGCCGTTTGCCATGTGCCATGAGGGTTTGTTGTCCAAGAAAATCAAGTCCAAAGTCTTCTCAGGTTCACACAACCTAGCTAGTTTCATGTTTTTTGGATTTGCACGTATGACATACCCATAGATTCTGAGGAAAAACAATCCTTACACCTGCACTTCCACTCTTGGGCAAATGCACTCTCCAGCCTTTGTGGATTTCTAGCACAAATGCTGAACTGATTTCACGCTGAACTACTGAAAGCTGCAACGAACCCATGTGTAACTCAAAGCAAAACAAAAACAAAAGAAATCTAAGATTATCTTCCACATTTGGTACAGTTTTAAAAGTGACTGTGACATAGCTGGCAGTCCTGTCAAAACCCTGCTTGATCTTGGGAAAAGAGATTAACTGGGCATTTGTCATGATCACTCCTGGGTGCCCACTCTGTAGGAGAGCTCATACAGCTCTGGTATACATAGAAACAGAGCAAGTCAGAAGGGGTCTCCTGGGCCATCTAGTCTGACCCCCCGGCTCCAGCCGGCTCCGCTCATGACATGCCCACCATGTGCATGTCCAGCCTATCTTTGAACACCCTCACTGATGAGGCCTCAACAACCTCTTGTGGAAGCCGATTCCACACCCTCGGGGTCCTGACTGTCAGGAAGTGCTTCCTGGCATCTAAATGGAACCTTGGTTCCCTGAACTTTGCTCCATTGGAGCGCGTCCTGCCTTCCTCTGCAAGGGAGATCTCTACCCATCTCCATGTGACATCTCCTCACATACCTGTATGTCACCAACATATCCCCTCTGAGTCTCCTCTTCTCCAGGCTGAAGAGACCCAGTTCCCTCAGTCTCACCTCATACCCCATCCCCTGCAAACCAGCCACCAACCCTGTGGCCCTATGCTGCACTGACTATAACCTGAAAATATCCTTCCTGTAACAAGGGGCCCAGAACTGAGCGCAATACTCCAGTTGTGGGCACACCAGAGTTGCACAGAGTGGTAGCGACACCTCTCTCGATCTAGAAGCCACACTTCTGGCTATGCAACCAAGGGTGGCGTTCGCCCTCTTGACCACTGCATCACACTGGTGACTCATGTTTAGCCTGCAGTCAACCAGTACCCCAAGGTCCCTTTCACAAGTGCTGCTCTCCAGCCACTTGTCCCCTGGCCTGTACTTATGACACCTCTTCCTATGCCCCAAGTGCAAGATCTTGCACTTATCCACATTGAACGCCATCCTGTTGTTTCCTGCCCACTTCCATAGTCTGTCCAGATCCTTTTGGATCTGGAGCACCTGCTGCTCAGTTGTGGCCACTGCTCCAGTTTTAGTATCGTCTGTGAATTGGATCAGCAGACTGTTCACCCCTTCTTCCATGTCATTTATGAAAAGATTAAACAGGATCGGCCCAAGGACAGAGCCCTGGGGGACCCCACTTGTCACTGGCCACCATCCTGAGGATTCCTCACTAATGCTTTCGGTCAGTCAGCCATGCCCTAATCCACTGGACAGTGCTTTGGTGTATCCCAAAACTCCTCAGTTTCTCCACCAGGATATCATGGGGCACTTTGTCAAAGGTCTTGCTGAAATCCAGGTAAACCACATCCACTGCATCTCCTCCATCTAGTCATCTCAAAACCTTGTCATAGAATTTCACAAGGTTTGTCTGGTAGGACCTGTTTTTGCAGAAGCCATATTGTGTGGCTGCCAACCTCCCTTTCCTATCTAGCATTGCTAGATCTCTCTCTATTATGAGCCTTTCCATTGTTTTTCCTACAATGGACGTAAAGCTAACAGGTCTGTAATTCCCCATGTCCCTTTTTGAAAATTGGGACCACTGATGCCACCCTCCAGTCCTCTGGAACTTCACCCGTTCTCCACAAGGCCTCAAAAGTGGAGGCCAGCGGGCATGAGAGAACCCCTGCCAACTCTCTAAGTACTCTCGGGTGTAACCTGTCAGGTATACCGCAAAGCCAAGAGTGATGGAACAAAATAGAAAATGATTTCACTGCAGATGGAGAAAAAATCTTAGTGGAGTGGGTATCAGACTAGTTGGCATAACTTAAGATGTCACTACTTGGGAAAACAATTCCTGCTGGAACACTGTTCCTGTCCTCAATCTAGCCAGGCATTATGATATGCATCTGAGATATTCCTCTGACTACAACCTCCAAGAGAGGTCTGGAAGGAAGCATCAATGAGTAAGGCCTTCTCAGTGGTGCCCCCACAATTTTGGAAATAATTCCCCACTGAGGTCAGCCAATATGCTCACCTTTTTGAGGATAAGTTAAAACAGCCCTCTACTTGCAGGCTTTTAATGGCATGAGTTTTTAATATTGCTTTAAATTTTGCATACTAGAATTTTGCACTGCATGTTATTGTATTTGTATTGTATCCATTTTTATTATTTTACTTACACAGCTGAATTGTTATGAACCACCCAAAAAGCTTGGCAATTGGGCAGTAAAGAAATGAAAACAATAATAATGATAGTAATAGTGATAATTGATCCAGTACACAGTAGTACCTGTTGCAATTATGCAAGTTGCTGGTATGCAAGTACTTACTGAATCCCACAGGAGCTGCTTATTCAATTGAAGTTCAAAGTCCTCTTTTAGAAATCTCACATCACCACCTATATAACCAGCCAGCTCCTAAAATAAAAAGCCCAGACAGAATCTTTCTTTGAATATTTCAGATATAAAACTGGATGTACAGAAGTGCATATTTTACACCCCTCCACAGAATTAATCTAATGTCTTCTAGTGTGTCTGTTACCATAGCTAAAACCAAATAGTGATTCAAAAATGATTTGAAAGGCAGATCAACCGTGCAGAATATTTCCTTGGGACACAGTATATGTTATATAATCTAGACACACTACACAATTAACAGATTGTACCAAATAATAATACCTGATTTATTTTCAGCAAAGCACCTCGTTTGGGCATGATTGAAGAGGTTCGAGAATCAATGACCATAGCATGCTACAGCAAACCCAAATAAATAAATAAATGGGGGGGGGGAGAAAAGAAAAGAAAAGAAAAGAAAAGAAAAGAAAAGAAAAGAAAAGAAAAAACACATAGGAAGTTTTATAAGGAAGGCTCAATCAATGGAACATTTTAAAAAGTTACATACTAACTTATAACAGGCAGAAAAAAACTACTCAGTTTCCAATATAATTTGTCATCACAGAAACCATTCTATAGAACTCTTTGACATGTCAAAATACTTCAATAAAAATGATGCTGTAATCTTCGGAAGAATGCAGTATTCTTTCTTATTATTGTTATATTGCATTTAAAGCTTTCCCTTCTCCCATTGTGATGAATCCAAGGCAGCTTACATGGCTTTATTTTATCCTCATAACAACAACCCTGTGAGGTAGGTTAGCCTAGGTGAGTGACTGGACCAAAGTCACTCAATAAACTTAATGGAAGACTAGAATCTAGTACCTGGATCTCCCAGGTCCCCAGTCCAACACTCCAACCCCCACACTACAATGCTGACCAGCATTTTATTCTAAGATGTATTGAACTGTAGATCAACAACAAATACTGGAAACTTCAACATGTAACTGCCAATTATAAGGAAAATATGACTAAATCCAATTATTTGATTCCACATGCAGAGTGACTTATGAAGACTGCTGCAAGTATGCATCCATATGCAAAACTGCACAGGGGGTATTTGTTTTTCCAGTTACAACTCCATAGATTCTAGTGAAACTGCCAACCACTGCAACATTATTTCTGCCTTGGCAAATGAAGAAAGATGTTCTTCCTGATATAGAAAGTATAGAGACTGTTATGAGGAAAAGGGCACTCTCTTACAGAATTCAGTGCAAAACAGTTAAATGTCCCCATAACTTTGCAAAACCTAGTGACTATATATTAGGCAATAATGGACAAAGCCATCATAATAAGTTATTTTAGCACCAAACACATTACCTCAATTAGCATTATTGGTCTGGGACAAGTCAGCAGTACTTACATTAATTAAACATCATATTAAAAATCACAGCATCTTACAGATACAGAAGACTTGAGTGAGTGTCCACTTTCTTCTCGAACAGAAAATGATGCAGTTCTTGCAAGACAGCCAAGTTCTCTCCAGACACCTTCCCATTTTAGTGTGTGGTTGGTTTTCCATACTGGAAACTATAAAGGAATCATTTTAGCTGTTACTCAGAAAAGGATGTTGCACAATTCCATCATTTTACATTTACTTCTTTATGGAGAGCAGGCAAGGTGCACTGAAGCATGACATTTATTACCACAGGAACATATGTTTCTGTGGCAATAAATGGCAACACAGGACTTGTTGATTCCAGGAGGCAATGGTGTTACAACAACAAAGAGTGGGGAAGAAATCACTGACTGTATCTGTTAGATGGAAAAAAAATCCCACTATTTTCTATTCCGGCCGCTTTGCCCTAATTTGTTGTAATGCAGCAGCAGGGTCTGCTCAAACACCTTCCCATTTTAGGGAAGAGAAGGGAAAGGAGGGGAGGAGGGGGGAGAGAAGGGTAGGTCTAGCCTGGCCAGCAGAGTACTCCTTTTCTCAGAGTTCTCTGTTACTGGCCTAGAAAAAATATCTTCAAGGGAGATAACGTTTTGTGAGATGTGTGGGGTGGGAACAGTTGCCAGACAGCTGTTGTTTCCACTGATGACCAGATCGCTTTACTGCCCAACAATAAGTAAGCAATGCTATTTTACCTACATTGATATCTGCTGATATCCCTCTGTCTGTTTCACGAAGAGAACTCCAAGGAAACTGTCCAGTTACTTTATACAGATTGAGAGAAAAGCTAAAAATAAACATAATATTAACATTTATTACACCATACCAAAATCTGGAAGGCACACTTGAAATCTCAAACTTATAGAACTGTTTTAACTTTTGCCACGGTGGCTAAAATAGCATCCTATACTGAACTTGGCAAGATAAAACTTGGCGTTTTGTTTGGCATTACATAATCCTTACTATTGATGGAAAAACTATAAGCTTACACTGATCCTAGACTCTAAAGTCCTAAATTGGCTCTAAAATACTGTGCTAAAAGGACACTCCTTCACTCCTATTGGGCACAAATGTGAAATGTGCCAGGAAAGCAATAGGTAAATATCAGCATAAAGAAACTTAAGATACGGCAACACATTTTCCTTTTCATCTTAAAATTATGTTTTATGCAAAAGACATGAGAAAAATGGTTGAAGCTTTATCAACACATAGTTCAGGTGGCAAGGCATGAAATGTGTGTATGCATGCATGCGTAGAGTGCTGTTATCACGCTGGATTTCCTTTGAAGTCTTTAGAACAGAATCAGACTGCACTTGCCTTAGTCGATAACGGGAGATAGCAACTAGATAGTAAGTCAGCCACTCATATCCTCAAAAGTCCACCAAAGACAGGAAAAGATTCTTAAAAGAAACTTTTTACTGCAGAACAAACTCCAATATAATCTATTTACTGCAGAACAAACTCCAATATGATTCACAGGGTATGGAATCATGACCATGGACCCATACATGTGAAAAGTACTTGAGTGGGTGACCATGCTTCAAGTACAAATATTCCCTTGGGTTAAAGCCAGGTATTTAAGAAACAGTTTCATAAGTAGATTTCCAAAGGTTGTATGGATGATGCAGTCTGATGAAACGTTTTTACATTTAGGCATCCAGAGGAAGAACTTAAGAAAATTACGCCTTCTCTGTGCACTAACATCTTCTATTCAGCCCTGATTCTGAGTAACATGTTCCCAGGGAGCTATTTTCTCAGTGGCTGCTAAAGCCCTGTTGAGGCAGCAATAGCAAAGATAGGACTTTATACATGATTTCTCTCCTGAGTTGCTAGTGCAACCATACATTCTGAAAGATACAAGTACCTGTTATTAACTGCCTGCTGAGGCCTGCAGTTGCCAAGGAATATTCCATTCAAGGAAGGTAAGAGGTAATGAAAGTTTTATAGATTCAAGATATTTTAGGATGCTAATTTTGTAAACTGCCTTGAGATGGTGTTGTAAAAGAACAAACTTCCCTAAAATATTTGTCAGTGTTTATATAATGAAAGCTGACTTCAGTGTAATACTACAATGTGTATCTAGAACTGCCGTTCTAATTCTAAATAAATGTAGATGGCATTGCAGCCTTTATATATTCTGAATGTATCTTACTTTCTTTCAAAGTGACCAGGCTGTGGTTTGAAGAAAGACAGGCCATATGAAGTTTCCTTTGTGCCATAAGAGAACTGAAATGTCACCTTCTCAGCACGTCCAAAGATATTAGGGAGTTTGAGCCCAAGTACCTGAAATATGCCAAAATTAGCACCAAAAATGTACAGCTCTGCTCTGGCACCAGCACACTTATTTAACATTTAGTTCAAAATGTTACTTTTACTACCATATAGAATCATCCCTGTAAATGTGTAGGTTTTTTCTGACTTTTAAACAGTGAAATTTGAATTTAATCAAATTCACTACAAGTATATGCATTTGAATTAGAAAGGCTTGTTTTGCCATAGTTAATTAAAATCACTCCAAGGAAATCCCATGGCCTCTTGGTGTTGTCTGGGGTGAGGCGTATAGGATTGTCTGGAGTTCCAGTTTCCAGATCCTCCAACCTCAGAGCTGTGATTCTTCATAGGAGTTCCTTATACGTCCCCCCACCCCGCAGCCAATGTAGAAAGAACCACAGTGACTGACTCCTTGAGGGTGGAAATTGACCTCAGAAAGGAGGAAAAGTGGTGTGTTGGGGGAGCAGAAAACTGGGCCAATGTCTTATACCATACCCAAATGGCCTCCTTCCTTCCCCCTCTGCAGTACGAACAACCATCTAGATGAAATACGGGGCATGAGGCACAGCAGCAGTGAAGATCACTGCCACTCTGTCTTGCTTGATGCCTCCAAGTTCCAGAGTTTCACTCCATGCCTGAAACACGAAGGGCACAGGACTGAGCCCTTACAATCCTGTGGGTGACAGACAGTATCAAATGGCCATCAGATTACTTGGAATCCCAGTTCCAAGCATGGAAACTCACTCCCACATCAGAGCGGGTATTCCAAAGTGCCCTTTCCTCCCTCACAACTGCCATGGAAAGAACTGTGCTAGCTGTTTCTCCAAGTTGCAAATGCAAATGCATCCTTAGAGAAATTCTAAGTGCACAAGCAGGAAGGCAGTGAGGAGGGGAAACCAGCATTGCCAAGGTGCAATATATCTTGGCAGTGCCTTAGCCAAATATGTCAGTGTGTCAGCAATGGTATCCTCTATATTATTTCTCCTGATAAAACAAAGCCATTCACTTTGAGGGGAGAAAGTAAAATACAGCCTGTGACATCCCTCCCCACTGTAGCACTGTAGTTCACCAGTTGAAATTGACTGTCAAGCTGATTCCTGCAAAGAGGCAAAGACTGCCCTGGACAGGAGGACTGTAATTCTCCAAGGTTGGAGGATTATGAGCATCTGGTCTGGATTGTATCCTTATATGATTAAACTGGCATATATCATACCAACACTACAGAAATTAAGCAGGTCATACCATGCTCCCTTCGTTATTGCCAACCATAGTGTTATAACTTCCAGTTAATCTTCTCAGTTCAGTTACTTCAAATGTTACATCTAAACCATTTGGAAGGGCATCATCTCCTAAATACACAAGTAAGTTAATAAACAGTACAATGTTCGCAGCTTTAAACCATATGTACACACAGAGAGTTTGAATTTCCTAATGGTTGGGAAACAGTATCTGTAAAACAGATTCTTCAAAATATTTTAAAGAATAAAGTGGCTATAAATAAATACAACATTCATAAAAATTTCCTTCATAGAACTTAGATACTCAAGGCTGATGGTAATAGTTGTCATTCTGTAGCACAAACAGGTTCGATTTTGACATCTCTCAGTGAAATTGGAAACTTAAGCTGACATCACAGACCAAGAGAGAAGCAAAGATCCCCATTATGCATCTTGCCATAACTCCCCTCAGCCTCTCACAGTATCTTTTCTTTTTTCTGCATAGCTTCAATGTATGTTTAACAGCATACATGGCAGCAGGCAGCAAGACTTATGAATCAGTAATACAACATTAAGCATTAACAATTTAGAAAACATTAAATAGCTCAGTAAAACAAATAATCTAAGCAACTGATTAAAGATTAAATGCCCCATGGAAGAGTAAACTCTTAAGTTGGCATCTAAATATACAAAGAAAAAATGCCAGGCTGATCTCCCTGGAAGGGGCATATGACAATCAAGCGTATACTACAGAGAAGTTTCCTTCCCCTGTAGCCACCTGTCACATCATTATTGGTGGCAGTACCTACAAAACAGTCTCCACAGACAATCCTACCCATTGGGCAGGAACTTACACCAATACTGTCAGCAATGGCATCCTCTATATTATTTCTCCTGATAAGACAAAGCCATTCACTTTGAGGGGAGAAAGTAAATACAGCCTGTGACATGGATTGATATTTTTGTGTTTAAACTATGTAAGGAATCAGTGGTTATTTGCTTCAAGTTCAACTACCTCGTACCAGCTGGTACAAATAACAGAAATAAATAACAGAAATAACAGAACTTTGGAGCAGTCTGTCCAATCTGAAAATGAGATACACTAAATATTATGATTCTATTCTAAAACACATGGAAAAGCAAATAATGCTTACTGATAATTACCTTGACATGTATCAATTAGAACATCCACCTGTCTAAAAATTCCCAAGCGGAGAAGCTTTTCACGAGCTTCATGTGACTTTCTCATCACCTTCAAAAATATTTAAAGTTTAGCTTTGCATCTTAACACAACAGCATAATGACTAAATTTTCATCAGTTATCTGTCAAAACCATACTCTTATACACATGGTATCACTCATTCAAAAGCTATATTTTGGGAGATTTTCATAAGATTAGATTTAATTCCTTTGAAATACTCATTTTTCTCAGATTACACTTTATGAGTTGGATCTGGACTTATTCTTACTTAAAGGAGACCCATTCAAATTAGTGAAATTATAAGGGCCTCACTCATTACAATAGGTCTACGCTGAGCATGATTAAGTCTAGATCAAACATTATATATCCAATTCCCCAAATTTTATCTAGAGCACATAGTTAAGAACCCAAGTGTAAACTTCATCCCCTTTTCTTAGACTTGTGCAATATACCTGTATATAAATATAGTTTGGCAATCTACCAGTCCAGTCCCAATGATCAGATGTAAAACTACATCTTGAAGGTGGCAAAAAACGCACTGGTAATCTAGATAATTTGTACTAGTTTATCACATACATTAAGCATGTTTTATATAATTTAGTGATAACCTGCAGAAAATTTGCAGCTTTGATTCAAGTAATCAAACAACAGGTATGAAGTAGTAGCTTCACTAATAACAGTACGCAGAATGGTCCTCATTTAAACCAGTTTAGCATCCAAGCACCTGTATATAGAATATGCTATAGATATAATTAGTGCAACTATTGACAATTAACAGGGTTTAAGTCTGTAAGCACAGGTGCAGTTTGATACCAAAACTCTAAATTTATACACCTAAATATCTGTTTATATCTTATTTCTTTTAACAGTATATATACTTGCTCCAGCACAGCAGATTTTCCAATACAGTTTTGGCAATGGCCTTTGGAAATCCTATCCCATTCTTTCTATTAAATTAAAGGATAGCAACATATTTTAGATTTAATAATATTTTTAAGCTTTTGAGAGTTTCAGAAATCATGTCTTATTTATTTCATACTCACATCAATGAGGTTTTTAGCCTTGAAAACATCACTAATTTCATACATGATAATATCATCTTTTGTCCTTCCAAGTCCATCAAAGTGTACATGCTGAACCACAACCTAACAATACAAACAACTATTATCCAAATAATGACCATGGAAAATATTTAAGGACAGTCAATATTTCTTATAGACTGAAAATACAGCAGTATTAAAATTAATGAATGCTTGCATTGCTATGCCATAATTCAAAGAACATTTTATCATTTATTTATTTATTATTTATTTATTAAAACATTTTTCTGCCGCTCCATTCGCCGAAGCCTCGGGGCGGCTTACAACAAATAAGTTAAATAACATTTTAAAATATATACATTAAAATAAATTACAAATATACAATATAAAATAAGCCGTCCTGGCCAGAAAAATTCAATAATATTAACATTTAAAATGCTGCTTGAATAAAAAGGTCTTCGCCTGGCGCCAAAAAACAAGTAACGAATAAATAATGAATAAACATTTTAAGAATCTATATTCAGCAGGATTTTGACACTAGATTTGTGAATGAACTGTTGCTATATTAAACTTGATTTTTTTCCTTTATATATTCACAAAACCTGAAGAATTCTTCACCAATAACATTAAGAAATTACTTCTGTGTAACACATATCGCAAATACCTTCTGACTACCTAAAAGACCATCTCCTCCCATATATACCTACCTGCCCATTAAAACCTGGTGCTTAGAGGTGCTTAGAAAATAGAGTAAAAGATGGCACCAAAATGATGACACCAAAAGGAAGACATTTCTTTTGTCTGAATACTTCCAAGAACACTCTTGAAATTTACTATTTATTCTGACATCTGTTGTTCTACTTACTGGAAGTAATTGTGATATTTATTTTTAATTTTTTATTGCAATTTTAACTGATTTTATTCTTGTTTATTGGTATTTTATTGCACCAACCTAAAGAACCCATCTGGATTAGTGGGTGGCCTATAAATAAATAAATAAATAAATATAACTAAATGAATCATCAATCACTGTGGTAGCCTTAGCGCATAAACTGGCAGTATGAATGTTCAAAGCATTCCATCTGTCTTTCTGTGAACTGGGTCTAGAACATCTGGGTTGTCAGGCTTATGGTACCCTTCCTTCTTGATCTAAGAGCTGAACTTATCCCTTATTTATACTAATTATTTATTGAGTAATTACTAAACTTTTGATAAACAAACATAGCAACAAGAACTTACATTTTAATTTCTTGGACTAAATTTGTACAATTTTTAACATGAAAGGACTCATATTTTTTTCCAGAACTCAAACACTGATTTGGAAGCAGCAAATTCTATGATATTTAAATTGAAGGCAAATGGGTTACTCACATCTTTATTTTCAAGAATTTCCTGTTTAGTTTCAGGTTCAACTTCAACTAGTTCAGCTTCTTCCCCTATAGTGCCAAAATCAGGACCATTCATTGGAAGAGGCTCCAAGCTCTGAATACAATAGATCAATATTTCTATTACTTGAATAAATTATTCAGTTCCAAATCAAAACTTTCCTTCATTTTCAATATATTCAAACATTTACCTTTAAATTACTTTACTGTGTAAAGATGCTGTCATGTAAAATTATGTTCATTATAATTTATATGTATGGCTTACTGTGCCATTTTGTTACACATATAGGCAATTGTGATAGTTTACTATGATTTCATTAGTTTATACAATGTAAAAGTTTTACTATGCCTTTTTATTTTCCACTGTACTTTGTCAGTACAGTGTTACCTTGGCTCACAAACTTAATCCATTCCAGGACTCTGGTTGTGACCCAAATTGGTCGTGAGCCAAGTTAAATTTCCCCATAAGGTTCAATGTAAATAAGGTTAATCCGTTCTGTAACTATTTTTTTTAAATCAGAAAAATGTGAAGCAAAGTGACAAAGAACAACAAAGATTGTGGCCATCTCCCCTCCCACCCCGAGCATGAGTGCGGCCATTCCCCCTCCCCTCAGCATGACCACAATCATCCCTGCACGTGCCCATCGTCCAGGCATGCTCAGGGGGGGAGACAGGCGTGATCGCTGGTGCGCTGAGGGGGAGAAGCAGGCACGAATGCAGGCGCGCTGGGGGGGAGAGAGATGAGCGCAAATGCGGGTGCGCTGGGGGGAGAGACGGGTGCGAATGTGGGGGTGCTGGGGGGGAGATATGGGCACGAACGCAGGCGTGCTGGGGGGAGAGATGGGCACGAACGCGGGTGCACTTGCGGGGGAAGACAGGTGTGATCGTGCTCTGGGGGGGGATGGCCAAGATCATGGTTGCGCTCATGCAGGAAATATGTGCGCAATCACAGGCGTACTCGTGCAGGAAAGACGGGCGTGAAATCGGCCATCCCCCCCGCCCCCATCACAATCACGGCCATCTCCCCACTTGGGGGGGGTGGGGAGATGGCCGCGATCACGGTCACCACTCAATGTGGGGTTCAGACCTGAGTCAAAATTTTAATGAAATTTTTGTTCACAACCCGATTTGGTCATGAACTGAGGCGTTTGTGAGCCAAGGTACCACTGTATATATAAGAATTACAGTACAAATAGCTCACAAGTAGTTCATTAGGTTTCTTTCCTGAAGGAAGGCTGCCACTAACATTTCAGAACAGACATGACTTTTAAAGAAACAAACTGCATGCTGGGGATTTGTGCGAATTCATGTTTGTGGTTACTAGTCTGATCTGTCTTCTTGACTAATTAACGCAAGCCTGAATTTGTACAGATCTTCTAATTCTTCAGATTCTATATTCCTTTCAACATGTCCCCAGTGAAAAAACATAGTGATCAATTCACCACTATTTGTGTTTGAATTTGAACTTATTAAAAGTTCCCCTTGGAATAGCCCCATTACATCACTCACTGCTATTCATTTAAGACATCTGACTGGAATAAAGGATCTTCAAATTTCTACTTACATATATTCACCACTGCTAGAACAGAATACTGCCTTTTTGCCATGACGTCTTTTACTGCTCTGAGCATTTTTGCTCCACATTTTTGTACATATTTTGCTTTTATTCTTACTGTATACAGACATAGATAGGTACATAAATGGATATAATCCACTAATTATTATGGATTACTCATGTGATCAAAAATGTAAAAAAGAGATGCTAGCCGTTTACAGTGCACATGTGGGTCAGGAAGACTTTGTAGAAGACCCGTAGCCTATCCTGCCAGAACACCTTGGTAACCACATCAAGAGAGTCATGGAATTGATGCCATACTGGAGAATTATTTATCAAAAGTACTTATGGGTTTGTCAACCTCCCAGTTACCATGCAAGCAATCCTCTCCCCTCAGTTGCCTGTCCTCTTCTTTCAGGTCCCCACCCGGGCAACACAGTGTGGTAAGTCCATGGGCATACTAGGTACATAATGTGTCCAAACACCAGATTCCACAGCCTCCAGGCATGCAGAGAGACATTCCCTTCACACAAGCCTCTGCACACTTGTAAGGACGCGTCTCCTTATGGGAGACACTCTGCACCTGGCCAGAAAACTCACCATAGGCCTGAGTTTTGGCTGGCAGCTCTAAAAAGCAAGAGAAAAAACAGGATTATCCTTCACGCGGAAGGAACGCTGACAGTCCCGAGAAGAATGCATAGGGGCGCCCTTTCTGAGCCTGCCTCCTTCCTATGCTGCCCAAGGTCGCTACCGCCTCCCAGCAAGCCAGCCAGGCGAGGGCGGACAGCAAGGCTCCTTACCCGTGCGTACACTGTCCCCATGGCCTTGCACGATGCCAAGCGACAGGAAGAGAAGGACAGGAAGAAGCGCAGCTGTCGCCGGCCAACACAAGCGCGCGTCCGAAGCGGTCACCAGAGGAGCCTCAGAGGCGGAAACTCCACGAGGCAGCCATGACTGGAGCGTCGGCCACGAATGAGACTTCTGAGTGCCTGTGATTGGTCGAACGAGGGCGGAGTCCCACAACCTGGCAGGAGCCGCAGCCCTACTAGGAACGAGGCGAGACGCCAGGGGGAGCCTCCAGAGATGGAAAAGGGGCGACGTGACACGAAAGCGAGGCTACCGGAAAATACGACAGAGCTACGAAAAGTTAGATAATCTCGTTAGAGGGGATTCACGAGTTCACTTTGAATAGTAGTTGTCTTCTTTCTAGAGAGGACGTGCTTATCAATAATGTTACACATCGATAGAGACATTTAGAATTTAATTTTTAACGCCACTATGATTGGTTGGTAACGTACTCCCGATCCCCACAAACAAACAAGGGCATTTTTGCCTTACCTTGAGTCGGATCATATTTCATGTGAGAATTCCTTTTCTGTCATTTCAAATACGGCCCAGCCAAATGCCAGTAGAGACCGTGGAGCTTCATCCAAGGTTAGTCTTATTTAAAGGGCCGCCTTAATGGGCCCCGGGCAAAGCAGTGTACTGAGGCCCCTACGACAACTACAACTACTGTTAATTTTGGAAGTTTTCCAATTTTCCAAGTGTTACCGGATTGAGCCAGTCAACAGCTGGGGCAAACCCGGGTGGACCCCTGACCCGAGCCAAACAGAGCCTGAGACGAAACTTAGAGCCAAAATCAGCTTTATTCTAGTGCACTATAGAATAAAGGGAGATGAAAGGGGACATTCAGCCCAAAGCAGTGTCTCAAAATTTGCACCCCAGTACATGCGTTTTATACCCTAGGTCACCTAATACACATCTAATGCATCGATACATCAATGTATGTACCCCCTCCTGTGCTGGAGAAAGAGTCCTTTCTTCTGTCAAGGACCAGACATTTCCCATGTCTATTTCTTATCTGCTCGAGATTCATACGGGCTTGCCATGTTCTTACTCCCTGCACATTTGCAACTTTCATGGCTGCTAGAACCAGTTTCCACTGTCCCTTTGATTACTGTATTCGAGGTCAGGCTAGCGTGTTAGCTGTGGGTTACACAAAGTTCATTTTGTTCTTATCCCCCCTCCCTTCTGGGACAGTATAACCGTGGTGTTTTTACTATGTGGCCTTCCTCTGGGCAACTACTTTTGGGGCCTTTCTCTGGCCAATTACTTTTGGGGTGTTT